TGTCCATTGAGTCATTCACTTTACTCATATACTATATGCAATATATGTGTACATATATACATACAGAACGTAACAAAAGTATGTGGACACCTCACTATTTTGGCTTATCAAGCTTGTCGACTGACTACGCTATACAGTCAGTCAGTTAGCTCACCCTGTGGTGTCCAGATCTTTTTTCATGTTCATAAATGAGATTGCTAGCGCTCATGCATGGTTGAAGGACCTGGCCGGAGAGCTCGGGAGTCGTTCCATTGGTCGTGCAAATGCTGAACAGCTGTTCCGTTCAGCACCATTACCATTTTTCTGTTGAATTCTGGAAACGTGAACATAAAATAAACATAAACAGCGCCTTTGACCGTCACCACAGCTGCAGGTTTCTTGCTCAAAGCTGTTGTTTTTGAAGATTTCCATCTCCTTTTTAGAAATGCTTGAATTGCAAATTTTGAGTTTTAGCAACTATCTCAAAGAAGTGCGAAAGCCTCTGTGAGGGAGGGATCTTCTACGAAGGCTATGAGAACGGGCTCCTCCAGCGCCCAAGCAGAGCAACATGAAGAAGCTTGACATTTCGCAGTAGACATTTTCAATTTACATCTTAAACAGAATTTTGGTTCTCGCAAGTCAGCAACTATGGAAAGAACCTCCCTAGAATATAAGCCTGGATAGTTATGTGATTTCCCCAATTTGGCTTTCGGGAGTGTTAATGGGCACAATGGGGGTGACTCAACATTTTTGCCTCGTTGTCTGCGTTCTCTTGAATAGGCCTGTTCTCGCGTGTGTAATGGAAGGGACTGCTTCTTCGTTCAGTGCCTTGCAGTGTTAGGCTCTTTTTGATAAAACACTCGAGAATATGAAATTGGTGTTCTCCTTGGTTCCATGAGAGAAGCTCGGCGATAACTGCTCGTTCCGCCAGCCATAGTTCTTGCAGTCGGTGACATTCGATAACCATGTGACGCATATTTCATATGATGGTTGTTTCCCAAGTGTCGTTGACTGGGGAAACCGAAATTTCAATTTAGCACCAGATGTTGAGTAAGAAACAAAAACAATTCGGTAATTAAAAACGGTGTCAGTTGTTTTGTAATGCAATTGATTAATCATCAGTTCTGAATGAATGAAATCATTCAGTGATAATTTTTATATTTAACTTCCCCATCCTAATACATTTTTCGGAATAAAGCTTCAGTTGGAAAGCGTTTTTGTATCTTCTCACTCAATCTTTTGGATTCTAGTTGAATTTAGAGCCTTTATCAAAGGCCGTTCTGGGTTACACAGAGGCGGGGAATGTTTGAAATGGGAGATGACCTCTAACTATGTGGGAAACCATCGATTTTTCGATTTCCTAGGTAGCAAAAGCCACGAGGATAAAGCCTCTGTCTCAGAGTTCGTTTGAGTAAAAGTACTTTACTTGTACTTTCAGGCAACGCCTTGATAGATATCAACAGAATTTCCTGTTGACGTGATTTTATGCTGCCACCAATCAGTTCCCCTTGACGTGGGGGCTTTTGCTTTTGTCCTTTTTCCTGCTCATCTTACTCGTCTGTCAAAAGTGCACAACACAAAGTGCGACGTGGGGTATGCTTCGTAGTGAACAGAACGGATGTATTATTCAGTAGCAAGAAAACGTAATAACAATGATAATGTCCTATTGGTCTGACTGCAAGAACTACAAATTATTTCAGATTCAAATTCTTACCGTAATCCCACTATTGTTCCCACTACTACAAGTAGTAAAATGTTCAAAAACACGTGTGGGTGTAGAGCCGTAGGGGAACGATGAAAAGAAATGGGCACGAAACAAAAGGCCCGACCGCATGTCGACGGAGATTGAATAGTAGGTGAGGAGGCAGGGCTTGAGTGACGGGATTTGAGCTCAACTCCCCATCGGCGCCCGTGCGCGAAAAATCTTTGATAGTAGTCTCGCAACCTTAAATTGCGATGAAAATACCTGCTCACTGAAACCGCGTCCATTTATTCAAATCTGACCAATACATTGTGTGCCCCAATTAACCACCGCATTTCTACAGCATAAGGCGAATGCGGCGAGTTCGGCATGCCGCTCTGGCATATATTCCTACACCTACAGGACTTAGTGTAGGACAGCACGATTCTAGCAGTTAGATCCCGCGAGACAGCTATCAAAGATTCCCTGCCGCTGGCGTGAGCCGTCGCGTTTGAGTCTTTTGACCTTTTAAAAATCAGAGCTGCGTTTTCTCCCAGTGTGTGATTTCACTTCAGCCCGCTTCTCAAATTGAAGGTACCAGTGTTGATGGAGCGGGAAATTTCACGGTAAACAGTAGCGCTAAGTTTACCGGAAAAGTAATTTCTCGGAAATAATACAGGGACTGGTCTTCGCGTCTCTTATTTTGCTAGTTCACGATGGCCACCCATGTCCAGCTGTTGAAAAGTCGCGTTTTTGCAGAGTCATAAGTAAAGGCCATGAGTTCCGTGAAATGGGTCGATCGATTCATATATGTACTACACAATCGCAGACATCCCTCCATTCGATCTGAAGCGCTGGTAACGTAGCATCCAAAAGGATTCCCCAATTCTCACGATCATCACGCTACTGTGATTCTTAGATCTCTGGTTACTGAGTACCAACAGAAAGGAAGGTTTAGGGTTAAGGGCTTCCAATACTTCAAATATTCACGAATAGTCGTAAAATAGCGTGTATCGATTACGTACTGGTGATAGGGAGCAAGTAGAATACGGTAAGACTTTGGGGCAATGTTAGGCTATCCTTCTTGTGCGAATTAATGTGTCTGGGCGTAAGCTTTTTTTTTCGGGTATAATGGGAAAGCAGTAGTCACGTGGGGCTCATCTTCTGTCTGATGTTTTGTTCGTGCTCGTTGGTGATGGGACGCATGCTTATCGATAGATTACACTTGTTTTTGTTTGCCAACACCTCTCTGGGCCCCATTTATAGCCCGCCCACACTTGTTATTATGCGATGCCTTTAGTTTGCTCAGCTCACTAAATACCCGATTATCTTATCGTAATCATGTTTTCTAGAAGTTTTGACATCGATTTTCTCTTAGGGTAATTTGGGCTTCCCCCATTTTTGCACTTCTTTCAGGGAAACTTTTTCTGACCCGGGAAAAAAATGCCCGAAGAACATCGTGCTACAATCGATAGTCATGCGCTATGGGTATTTATCGTTCCCGTTTGGAACAAAGGCAGGCGCTTACCTGCCAACTCGTTCTCTCCTTTTTTTGCTTCTTTTCACAACTTTTTATCAACCTGGTGATACAAAAAGTTTACGTTTCGAAACTCAACCGTTTTTTAACCCTTCAATCCGGGAAAATTCCAAGGAAATGGAGCATTCACCAATAATACCTATAACCGCTTCGAAACTAAACATTTTTATTTGCCAGAAAAGCTCTGATTTTATCTCCACGGTGGTCGAAACAGCTGTAAACTTAGCTTGCGGTTCTTGGAGTCTTAAGAACTTCAGGTTGTTTATGTTCTGGCACCATTCAGTTTTTGCAGTTTTTGGGGTAAAAAAAAGCAAATTATTTTCCGCTAAAACTCCATGTTTGAAGTACGGGCAGTTGATGTTCCTGTACACGAAAATTTCACCCAATTTTTGACAATTTCCAATTTAATTTTCAGGCTGGGGGCCATTCGGTACCCCATCAGCCTTTTTGGCTAAATCCACCCAACCTTTCACGAAAACAACGATTTGTAAAAATCTATACATAGGTTTTCCAAGCCATCTGCCCTTTTAGAGACAGAAATGTGTGTGAAATTTAAGACAAGGGCATGTTTACCTCCTAAAATGCAAGTCTTCATTAAAAGCGGTGATCACTTTGTAGAGTCACAGGACGTCGGCACTGAAGATAAACTACACCTGTTCCAGGGGACCATCAGGCATTCTTATAGGTCAAGCTTCAGCAGAAATAGTGTGTTTCGCATCTTGTCGTTGTAATAATTGAGTAATACCAGTTGGTACTAGGCTAGTAGGGGTAGGGGAGGGGTTGTCAGTAGGCGGAGCGAGATGTTGAGATCGATAGTGATAAATGGCTCACCCTACTCGAAGCCCCTCCCCTCAGAAGCACTTGTCCCATGTTCCGCTGACCGTTTTGAGCTTAGCCATTCATTTAAAAAAATGACTAATCTTCTTCATAAAAACACTGGCTCCCGTTTATGGGCCCTCCCTTCCAATTACCCTTGAGCGCTTGATTGCATGTTGTGCCCACATGTGGGTAACGTCCCACATAAAAATAGACGCGTTGATGAACTATTGAAAGTACTTGCTGAAAACATCTATTTTCTTGTTTACAGGTACGGAGAAGGTACCAATGGACTCGCATGAGTGAAGTTTCACAGAAAACACCCCAAAAAGGACACAATCATGTTACTCGGTAATTTTTCAAGATTTCAGGCCTGCAGTGCGTTGTAGATTTCTTTTTTTTTTCTTTCTTATCGTTTCTTCTCTTCTTTTCGAAATCCAGAGTTCTTTGTGCGAATTATTTGACAGATATTCTTGGTCAATTTATTTTTCGTTTGCCGAGTTTCATTGAACTTCGGTTCATTATTCTTTGATAGAGTAACTGTGAGCGAAATGCACGTTTCTCTGTCAGAGATGGCATTATTCATCATTTTCTGGTCGAGTATTTTTCCATACTGCCTTCATTTATGAAAAGAACTTGATGTATTTCTAAATGTCACGCTGCCAATGCCATTTTCTTACTCAGCAATTTCTTATCCACGATTCGGATCTTCAAAGTGCAAAGAACGTCCAGGAATATGAATCGGAGCATATGGGTGATGGGAATTGCAATATACATTACGATGAGACAAACAGCCAAGGAGTAGGGCACAGATAGAACATGAGTACTAGCGATAGCTGGGCCCATTTTCAAGCTTTGCGTGAGAGCACTTAATTAATCACATTTCACCTTGTCTGTAAATATTAGCACAGCTGCCCAGCGAGTCCTTGGTACTATTGGCCAAGGTTCAGAATTAGTTGAAGCGAGTAGCCGGTAGTCTCCCTTTGCATGCGATCTTCACAAATAGGTGTTGAAAGGAGAAAATTTATCTGAATTTTACTTGATGGTTAATGTTTATGTTGTTATTATAGTTGGCTGTTTATTTACTTAAATTCCATTCTGTTCGAATTCTGGAAGTTGTATTTCTCATGGTTCAGATAGCTCCAATGACCAAGTACGTGTGCCGAATGTTATTGCACTGGTTGGATTGCCGGCAAGAGGAAAAACGTATATCTCTCATAAGCTATGTCGTTATTTGAATTGGATTGGCATCAAAACGAAAGGTGAGATTGTAAAGGTTCTGTCCTTATCATAAAGGTCGATATGATTGATAGATGTCTTTCGATTCCCTGATTTTCTGATTTGGCAGAGCAAGAAATTAACTTGCTAAAGACCAAAGGAAAGATAGAGAAGTTCCCTTTTGGGTATGATTGTGTAATCACAACCAATATTACATGAATTTCTCGATTTTTGACTTTGTAGTTCGATACTTGACTGCTTCACAAACATACCTAACTTATGCACGCCTCATGCAAAATTTCACCAAAGAGGATTGTGTCTGAGAAGTTTTGAGAAGTTCGTGGTTTTATGTCGATCCATACTTCCAATCTGTTTTCATTAATAACTTACTGCATTCGCATCTTAGGGAAAGACTCTATTGAACATATGGCCTTGTGAACCGGTTTCTAATGAAAAAAAGGGGAGCAGTGTTGGCAGTAATACTCACCGCACTACCCTGTACCTATCTAACAATGCGTCAATTTATCATTGCCCGCAATCTCCCACTTTTTGTCTTCAATCGTTGCTCATGAACTAATAGTCAGGGATCAAAGCGATACATTTCTAATGCAAGCAGTCGGACCATATGTTCAGCATAACTATTGATCCAGATCGGCGTAAAAGTAGTGATTAATAGTGTAATAGGCCTGTGTCAAGTTTGAGTTCAGCATAAGAAGTGATGCGCTGTAGACAAATTTATAAATGAATCGTTGAGGGGTTTTGCTTTTTGTATGTCAGTTCTTGTTATTATTATAGATGGGTTCAACGAACGCTTTATCTCGTTGAATTAATTTCCCTTCCTCGGCGTCATTACATTGAAACCAAAAAAATCTCGGTGGTGACTCACCTGCCCGAACCTAATTTCCAGTAATCAGAAAGGAATTAAAATAGTAAAATAGGGCTGGATGCTAAGGGAATCACCTTGAAGGGAATTTAAACCATGAACCTCTGGTTCGGAGATTGATTTAACCAATAACAGAGCATTGTTTACCTTCTGTTTACTCTGAGTTGCTGTGGAAATTGAGGAAAATCTGTCTCAAAACAAAGAATTTCCGGATAACCTCTTTTTCCTAAACAGCATCTGTTTGATATCGCTTTTCCACTTATTGCTACCTCCCCCAACTTTCATCTGGAAAATTACAGTAGGCAGCGTCTCGTTGCCTTTTTTTGCTTGCAGCCTTTCTGTTGCCCTGCAATATGTGCTGGCTAATGTTTGGCAGTGCACATTCAATGGACTTTTATAGACATTTGATATTCCAAGCATTCTTTCAATAAACTCATGCTTGAAGTGAATTTGATGCTTTCAGCGTTCAATGTCGGAGAGTATCGTCGCAAAGCATGTAGCCTGGACGCTGGAGGGGAATCTGATTTCTTCAGTCCAAACAACGTTATAGGAACACAAATACGAGAGTAGGGCTATTCCGATATTAATATGGAACTTTGTTGTTTCTTCTTTTTCAATGATTTCTCCTTTCAGTGAGTGCGCTCGTTTGGCTATTGAAGACATGGCACGCTATTTAGATACCAAAGAGGGTGAAGTAGCGGTGAATCTTGCCCTTAATCTTAAAATAATCCCTAGCATTGAAATTTTTTGAGAAGTCATTCCTAGATTTTGGATGCTACGAACACAACTCGCACCCGTCGACGTTACCTCATTGAGTATTGCCAACGTGAAGAACTGTCACAAAGTTTTCGCGTTTTCTTCATTGAAAGCGTATGCGATGATCCAGATATTATCAACTCGAACATTACGGTAATTTTTCTCATACCTGTAGTTGCATATGACTAAATAACCGTTATTTTTTCGTGCCAAATTTACGACATCTTATCATGTCGTTTAGTTCTCACGTGAATAATAAAATTCAGAGAATTCCAGTGGTACGTGACATTTCACTTTTTAAACTCTAATTCTCAGAAGAATTTTGCATATGGTGAATACAAGGATTCAAAGTGTTATTGAATGTCAAAAATACAATTGCCACCGAAAGTCTTCAGAATAATATATTCCTTCTTTTCAAAGTCGTATTGCGACAGTATCTGTGGCTTTTTTGCTTATTGCTATAGCTTATTTTCCAATAGATTTTGCACTTTCATGAATTGCTTTGATTTGAAGGGGAACCGGTCACCCACAATGCTAATGTACGTACTCATGGCGTGATGTTTCAGGAAGTCAAGATCAATTCACCGGACTACAAAGGAAAAATGACCCAAGAACAAGCGAAAGAGGATTTTGTTAGAAGAATTGAGAACTATAGACTACAATATGAGCCGATCGACGAGGATATTGACGATGAGCTATCATTTATCAAGGTTAGAAAATCTGTTTGTTTGAAGTAATTCTCCAGTCATTGTGTACCATTTTTTGAAATTTTTCGCGTCCTTTAATATGCTGATAATTTCAATCTCATTAATAGCCCAAAAACTCGAATTCTCAGAAGCATGTTCGTTCGGCTGCATATTAGATAATGGCATTTATGGTTTTTGCTCTGAATTTCAGGTGATTAATGCAGGCAAGTCATTCTACGTCCATAATGTCAAAGGTCATATCCAAAGCAGGGTTGTATACTTTTTGATGAACATTCATCTGTTACCTCGCAGTATCTATCTCACTCGTGTAAGTTGTTTATACTTCTTCATTGGCGCTTTAATTGTTTACGGGTTTCACTTCGGCTCTTTATTACATATTAGGCCTTCATGTTGCAGTAAGAGAACAACTTTTACTACAAATCAACTTTTCAGCATGGAGAAAGCGAGTACAACCGTATAGGAAGATTAGGAGGTGACAGTCCATTAAGTGAAAATGGCCTAGCATATGCCCGAAAACTACAGGAGTATTTTAAGGTCCCTTTTGAGCTATTGTACTTATGCTATTAGTATCAGTAGCTTCTTTTCCTAAACTTGGAATTTTCAGAAGGAAGATCTGGGAGATTTGAGAGTTTGGTCATCGCAAAAGATACGCGCTGCACAGACAGCGACATGTATGCGTGAATTGGCCACCCATGTTGAGTACTGGAAAGTACTTGATGAGATTGATGCGGTATGTTTTGCAACTTTTGAGGTAATTGGTCAATATATTGACGTCATGTTGTCTTACTGAGATTAGGTCATGTTCACAATTGCCTTTTAATAAAGGAACAGCATGTAAGTGAAGAACTGTTTTGCCTCTAGGGAAATTTGCCCACTGTGGGTTGTCCAATATGAATTATGTTCAAGATACTCCGTGCATTTAATAATTTCAGCAATTGATTATCCCTTACTATTTAGATTCTTGCAAACAGGCTTGAATTGGCGTGAAAAGCTAATATAGACAAAGCTTGTAGGGCATTTGCGAAGGATTGACCTATGAAGACTTTGAAGAGCGGTATCCGAAGCAATTTGCTGAACGAGATCGAGACAAATATCATTACAGATATCCAAGTGGTGAAGTGAGTGTGCCTTAATTAATGAGTTTTACTTTCTCGACGTTTAGCACTACATATTTAAATACTCTAAAATTCCATAGATAAGAGCGGTTTAATCTACCGGTGAAAAATGAATTGGAAAAAATTG